GCACAAACACACACACATAGACACACACACACGTACACACAGACACACACACACAGACAGACAGACAGACACACACACACACACACAGACACACACACAGACACACACACACACACACACACACACACAAAGCTAAACCATCTTATACAATGATAAGGACCTCAGAAATGTAGGTTACACTAAATCCGTATGATTGTAATTGTCTGTTTGCTTGTGGAACAAGAAGCACGTGGGCTCACTAAGGGTCTTTTAGTGTAAGGAAAAAACAAGAAAGACAGACAAAGGTATCAAAGGGAAAGAGCAAGTGGGACCCGCCTGTGGGATGCTCCAACCACCTGCGCCCCGCCTAATAATAAGTACTATCTGGTCTGAGTGGGATAGGTCTACAACATCCCTGTAGACAGAGAGACTGGCGGGGGGTATTCAATTTGTAAAAAAAAAAAATAAATAAAAGATAAACCATTTATTCACTTATATAATATAACCTTCCAAAGAAACAAAACAAACCAAAATCAAAACAAAACAAGACGACCAAAAACTCTCACACAAAATCTGCACTCCCGTCTTTTATGGTCCCACGGGGAAGAATCGAAAAATATGCTTCAAACTCGACAAAAGTAAAGGACCACTTGCAAACACTCTCGCAGCACAATCAGGTGAAAAGCAAAATATTTGAAATTTCAAAGATAGTTAATGGAATCATTTCTTAAGAAAATAAATTCAATTTTAGAGTGATGGCGTCACGAACTTAGGCAATATGTCGCTCTGAACAACATTCCTTGCTGTCTTTTTTTGTAGGATTAAAAAATAAATAAATAGGGCTCTCTTTCAAGGTGATCCTTAACTTATGTTAAAGTCTGTATAACCATTGTCCAAATTGTCATTTCCAAGGAACTTAATTACCGTTACAGTCGTTTGTGCAAGAAAAACATCCTTCACCGTATCTCTGAATTTGCAACGTAAAATAGTTAATGAGTAACCCAGGCTTTTCCTCACACCTTTCCCCCTCCCTCAGGTACGATCGCATTATCAAAGCTACGAAACTGGACAAAGACTTTGAAACTTTCAGCGCCGGAGATGAAGTTGAGGTAAGGAAGTCTCTAGCGCTCTTTCATGGTCACTCTAGAGTTCTGTTTGACTATGTAGGTTAGTGTATGGGTTCAATGCCCCAATCAAGAAAGTTAGTTGTATTAGCATATTATTTTAAGAGGTGGGACGTACGAATTAAATGTCAGTGCGATAGGGCAGTTGTATTTGTTTATGATAATGTGGGAATAGAATTGGAAATTGATGTCAGTTTAAAACGTGATGTACAAAGTATGTATCCTTTGCACAAGCTTGGAATGGACTGCTTAAAAACGAGTAACTGAGAGTTGTACACAGTCAGTTTGATACACATGGGACTTTCTGTAACTTTGCTTTCACTGTTTATGTTTATACCCCCTCACCCCCCTCTCTCTCTCTCTCTCTCTCTCTCTCTCTCTCTCTCTCTCTCTCTCTCTGTCTCTCTCTCTGTCTCTCTCTCTCTCTCTCTCTCTCTCTCTCTCTCTCTCTCTCTCTCTCTCTCTCTCCCCCCCCCTCTCTTCATCACCATTCTTGTTTCCCGTCCCGCCTCCACAGATCGGAGACAGGGGTCTGACCCTCTCTGGTGGTCAGAAACAGCGCGTGTGCCTGGCCCGGGCCCTGTACAGCCAGTGTGACGTGTACCTGCTGGACGACCCTCTGTCTGCCGTGGACGTGAACATGGGCAGACACATCTTCGCCCAGTGCATCAAGACCATCCTCCACGACAAGACCATCTTTATGGTCACTCACCACCTGGAGGTAAGACCATAGAATTACATTTCCATCTTACTGGGTGGTTGTGGGTGGGGTCTGTCTGTCTGTCTGTCTGTCTGTCTGTCTATCTGTCTGTCTGTCTGTCTGTCTGTCTGTCTGTCTGTCTGTCTGTCTGTCTGTCTGTCGTCT